AATTTTATTTAATAAAATAAACTTATGATGGTTCTAAAAGTATAGAAAATGCATTATTTAAAAAATTTAAATTATTAATTCTAATTGGGAATGTAATTTGATAACAATGGCATTGCTTTAGGATAAGTAAGTGTAAATTCAAATTCTACTTTGTCATCTTCTGTTACAAATCCGTTTTCTTTATTTATTTCGTCGGCACATATAAAGTTGCTCCATCCCCATATTGATGTAAACCCTTCTGAATTTTATAAATAATTAATAAAAAATAAAATAATAATTTTTTTGAATAAAAATAAAATTACCACTTACCACCATTGTATTTACGACAAAAATTTTTTTTTGGATCTTTGTTTAATAAAGTTAATGAGAATTCTATGTCATTTTGTTCAGCTGTAGAATGAAGATATATGGATATTTCTCTTAAATAGTAATTTGTATGAAATCTATTAAATCTGATTTCAAATGAATCTCGAGTATATCCAAATGAAGGAGATATCAATTCACCGCAAATAATATGATTAATTTTGGAATAGTTTGAAATAATCCATTTATTTTTATATTCCTTACCTTTGGATAATTCATTTATTCTTTTTGAAAGAATATGATATTTTTCCTCAAAATTACATATATCTTGAATCAAAAGATCTCCTAAATGATCAATTCTATTTGAAAGTTGAAAATTTAAATATTCTTTATCTTGGGTTAATTCTTTTATATAAATTGAAAGTTGGTTATTTTTCATGATTAAATCTTCTTTACCTTTAGTTAAATCATCAATACTATTTGAAAGAATTATATTTTTACTGTTTAAATTATATATTTCTTTATTCAAACGTTCTTCACCTATAGTAAATTGATCAATACTATTTGAAAGTTGATAGTTTTTAATGTTTAAATTTTCTTTATCTTTAGTTAATTCTTTTATATTAATTGAAAGTTGGTTATTTTTAATCATTAAATGTTCTATTGCTGTACTTAAATGTTTTGTGTGGTTTGTTTGTTCTAAATGATTTTCTAAAATTTTTCTCTTTATTTTATCATTGCATCCAAAATCTGATAAAGTACATGAAATAATTGCCTCTTGACATTGTTTATCTACGTGATTACCCATTTCTTCTCTTTTTATTTTTTCATTGCATTCTTTACAGTATATTAACATCGAAGGACATTTGAGATAATGTTTTCCGATTGTTTTTAATAGGAAAACATTGGAACAATATTTACAATTTAATGGTTGGTATTCACACTTGGAAATATGAATTTCCTTTTCATTGTGTCTGATTTTATCATTGCATCCTTTTTCATGATATTCACATTCTACAAATCTAAAACTACAATTTTCGATATGATTATCTAATTCTTCCAATTTAATAATTTCATTACACCCACTACTATCCTCTATTAATTTTTCACTTTCATCTACTCTAGTAATATTTTTGAATAAATATGGACAGCATACACAAGTTTTTAATAATAACCTTTCAACTTGTCTCGCTCTTGATAGTTCATTCAATGAATTAACTTTAGTTTTACATTGCATACATTCTTTTTTTTTTTCAAGTGATTTTTCCCAACATTCTTTACATGAACAATGACCTGATATTAAAAATAATTTGAAAATAAAAAAATTAACATTTGATGTTTATATTAAAAACTATTACTAGATTCTTACCTTCTTTACATTGGTAAACCTCTTTTTTATAATATGTATCAAAACAAATTTGACATACATAATCATCATCAAACTCAGATGATAACTCAGAAACATTATATTTTATTAGTTGTTTTGGCATTTTTTTATGTGTATTTTAAAAAAAAAAAAAATTTTATATTTCTAATTTAAATTTTTTATTTACAAAACCACTATTGTTATAAAGAAAAATAATTTTTTACAAACAATCAAAAATTAAAAAACTTAATTTTAAGTAACTTAAAAATAAAACAAATAGGGGGTAATAAAAATAAATTTTGTGTTTAAAAATTGAATAAACTAAAAATAGTGCAAAAAAATTTTAAAAATTTGGTTTTTTTGTTATTCAAAATTTGCGTTAATTTGGTTGGCTCTTCTAATATAATTTTCTAAATTAAAAAAAAAATGTGTGTGTTGATTTAGAATATCAAATTTGATTTATTATACCCATTCTGTGATTTCATCGATATTGTTGCTGTAGGTGATGTTGAAATTATTTTTATAATATTATAAAATAATGATACATACATCAATTAAAAAAAAAATAGTAATAATAATAATAATAATAATAATTTAAAGTATAAATGAATTGGATTTATTGTTGAATTTTTTAATTTTTTTTAAAATTTTTTTTTTTTTTTTGCCAAGTCAAAAAATTGGGAGACTTTAAGGGTTAATTCTATTTTATTTGCGCAAAATTTTTTTTAAAATTTCCTGAGGTGATAAATTATTTTGAATGATTAAATTTAATAAATAATTTGGAATTAGTCTGGTTAAATGATTATTTTTTAAGATTTTATATTTTTCGTGATTTAAGACACCTAATAAATAGTTGAAAAGGAAACTTAATTGAAATGTATAATTTGAATTGTAGATTAAAGATAAAAGTAAAACTGAATCTGTTAAATTAAGGTTGTTTTTTAAGTGTTGGAAAATTAAACTTGTTATGTTGATACAACCTAAACTTGTTGATAAAAATAATAAATCAATTAATTGATCACCTGAATTGATTGATTGAATGATTGCTAAATTTCTTAATTTCAATTCTTGATTAGTTGTTTCTTTTAATGATAATAGCAATTCTAATGTTTCTTTTGAAAATCCAAATAAAGATAACGACTCCACATCTCCACTCTGTTTTTCTTGTATATATCTTTTAAGTAAAAATGGTGGTAACATTGAGACATTGGTTTTGATGATGGACAAGGTTGGTTGTATATTGTTTTGTTGTTTGATTCTTGTAATATCTTTGAATTGTTTGAGATGTTTAAAATACCATAAACGATTATTGGGAATGGGTTCTGGATTATAAATTTCGAGTGTAATTTGTTTATCATCTAAATTTAAACCTTCAAATTCTTTTGTAATATCGGTATTATTGTTGGTAGATTTTTCATCGTTAAAATTCAATGGAAAAGTTGAAAGATCATTCCAAAACAAAGCAGAGTAGAAACCAGCCTTCATATTACTATAGTCACCATTGATTATTAATTCTGGTTCGGAAAACATTTTTCTTTTATTCTCAACGATTTGACCTTCTAAACCGCAGCCCCAACCGTAAACTTTATAATCTTCGGTAATTGCCAAAGCGTGGCTGCTACCACATGATACTTTGATGATCTTTCTGCTTGTATCTGGTGATGGTATTTTGATTAAATTTACAGTGTTCTTTTTTAAATCACTTCCATAACCAAGTTGATAGATTTTATTATCGTCAGTGAGAGCTACCATTAATTTTTGACCAACTGAAACTTCAATTATTCTTTCGTTTGGTAAGGGACACATTGGTTTATAAAGACCTTCTCTACCGGATTCGATATGTTTTGGGGGAAGATATCTGCCAAGAAAAGCATTTATAAATAGTGTAAGTGGAGATGCTTTATGTAGTGTTGACCAATTCAATAGCGCATTTGCATTATCGTCAGTGACTGATTGTGAAACCAATTTTAATAAACCTTCTTCGAATCTCTTCATTTCGAATACTTTTGAATTTTGATATAGAGACAAGATAAAGTTACCAGTAATATAATCCGATGGAATTGAGACTAATTTGATACGATCAGAGTATAAAAATGAAATTATTAAAGTTAATTGGGGACTATTGATTTCTTTGTTCTCTATGACCAACTTTAATAGGCCATCCTTATTGGTTTCTGATGATTCGGTAATAAGTTTCTTGAAATAAGGTAAACGTGATAAAATAATCTTGTGGCAATAAATTTCTGATAATCCATCACTATTTACAACAACACAATCCGAAAAGAAATCCCTAGAGTTATATGAAGCTGAATATAATTGATCTGGAATTTTTAAATTACTATCTGGTGAAATATATCTAAAGTAATCGACTAAATAGGCTTCTAAAGGTTTACATTTATATAAATTGCAATGGAAATTTAACAAAGCTTCAGCATTTCTTCTTGATGTATTATTTGTGTAAATGAATGTAATAAAATCTATGAATTGATTCTTTTGCTCGGTAAGTGGTTGCTCTAAAATTTTTTTGATAATTTCTTGATTCTTTTCAGTTGTAGGTGAAAGTTTTAAAAATTTTTCAAAACTAATTTTAATTACACCATTATTGTTGTTTTTAAAAGACAGATCTCTTAAAAATTTGATATTTTCTATTAATTGAGAGTTGTTTTCAAATAATACTGATAATAATAATACTGAGTGAACATAGACCGTTTCTGATTTGCTTTGATCGGGATCATCAAATTCGATATGTAAATCAGAAAATTCTGGATTTGAAATAAATGATGAGAATTCGTGTGGTAATAATGATGGTGAAACTGATATTTCAGGTACAAAACTGATAACTTTTTTACTTCCGTCAATATTTGGATAGGTTGATGGAATATCTTGGAAACCTAATTGAAGACGATCATTTCTACCCAATACATAAAGAAGGCCACTTGATGAAATGAAAGCACTATTAAAACCCCCAGCTTCGATCTTTATAATTTCTTCTGGCATTTCTATGTGCTCGATTTTATGAGAAAAGGTACCATCACGAGTAATATTTGAAAGACAACCAAAGTTATTTGAACCCCAACCATATACATCTCCGTTGTCGGTCAATGCTAAAGAATGATGGAAACCTGTGGCAATAGACTTTACGTTTCCCCTGAATCGCAGAGGAAAAAGTGGAGTACTTTGACCACAGGAGTTGGGTTCATGTTTAGCACCCCAATTCCATACCAGACCATTTTTATCCAAGGCAGTAATGAAATAACGACCACAAGAAACTAAATTAATTGGCACTTTAAAATGTATTTTTTCAAAACTGTCGAAAGTTGTATTGTAATTAGCATAGATTTCATTTTCATAGTTAAATTCAAAATCAATTCTTTCTCCATTGTTGGTGATTTTTAAATTAGTTTGCACACATGAAAACTTTGACATTGAAATATCTTGAATATTTTCTTTTTTAATATTATCAATCAAATTTTTAGTGAAATTATGAAGTGAATACATTTTGGATTGTTTGAGTTGTTTTTTTAATTTCTCTTCGTTTTCCTCTTCGATAACCTTAAAGTAAAAACATCTATACAACATTGACGCCAGACTTACATTGAAATTCTTTTTTAACTCTTCTTCAATAATTTTAATTAATTTGAAAATATTGTAGTTGAATTTTAAATAAATTTTACCCAATGCAAAAATTATCTTTAAATTAATTTAAAAAAAAATGATATTAAAATTTAATTATAACTATCTAATATTTGTGAAAGTTTTAATACTTAATACCTACTTTAATTTTTAATAAATTATCATCATTGATATCATTTGTTGGTTTTTCTTTAACTTGGTTTAATGAATCTAATAAACATTGACTGATCTCCTCAATATTTGAATTGGATTCATACAATTCAATTACTTTTTTAAATAATAAACTTTCTCTTTTTTTATTTATTTTTTCTTCCATTTAATAGAAATAATTTTATTTAAATATAAATATATATTTAACAAAATTTATTGATGGAGTTGTAATTGAAAAAAAAAAGAAAAAAAAAAAAAATCCAAAAAATTTCTCTAAATTTTTTTTTTTTATTTTTTAATAATTAATAATATTTATTTTTATCATTTATGAATTCAATAGAAAAATTGAATAATATCCCATTTGGAACAATCTTGGGTAAATAAAAAATTAAAAAAAAAAAAAATTAAAAAAAAAAATTTTTTTATTTTTTATTTTTTATTTTTTATTTTTTTTTTTTTAAAATTGATATTTTAATCATTATTTTTCATTGATCAAGATATTAAGTATTTGCACAATTGCATATTAAATAGTTAATAATATTAATAATAATAAAATGATTAGTCAAAGATTAATAAATTTAAATAATGTATATAAAATAAATAGTAGTAGAGTCGGTAGTTATTTATATTCTACATTCACAACTAAAAATTCATTTAATAAATCATTCAATAATAAAAATGAATCTTCATTTTCAAACTATAATAATACTATTTTAATATCCAAATCAAATTTTACACATCAAATAAATAATAGTTTTAATAATTTAAATAAAAGAAATTATTCAACATCATTACTAGATTTAAATACATTTCATGATTTGGTAGATGCCGAAATCGAATTATATAGCGAAAGATTAGAAATTTTATCAGAGCAAAATACCATACCAGGTTTCGATATTGAATCAGGAGTATGTAATATTACATTAGATAAGATGTGTTTCATTTTTATTATTTATATAAACAATCATTATTACAGAGTCACTAATCAAACTTTATTTATTTCAAACAATTAGGATGGAGTTTTAACTATTAATACAGGATCAGGTGGCACATATGTACTTAATAAACAAACACCAAATAGACAAATATGGTGGTCATCACCTATCAGCGGTCCAAAAAGATTTGATTACAATGAAGATACTCAAAGATGGGAAGAAAATAGAGATAAAGAGCCAATGAGAGAATTGTTAACAAAAGAAATTAAACAACTTTGTAAATTTGATATGAATATTTTATAAATCGAAATTAAAATAAAATAAAATAAAACTTTAATAAAATTTAAATAAATAAAATAATAATAATAAATTATTTTTTTTTTATTAAAAAAGTAAATTAAAATATTTATATATGTTGTATTATATGGTTATTTTATATATATATATATGTGGTGGGTTTATTGTTTTATATATGTTATTATCAATTATTACTATTATTATTACTGTTTATTTATTATATTTGTATTATTTACAATTGAACTTTACTAAATTGATTAGTTAAATCGATATTACTATTGTCTATTGATTCGGCTTGTAATTCTTCCATATTAAATTTTATTGGTTCATTGTTTTGTTGGTGTAGTTTGTTGTTTGTGGTAATTAAAGTATCATCATCTTTTTGTGGTGTTAAAAACTGTTGTTCTTGTTGGTGGTTATTGATGTTAATATCTGTAAATTGATCTTGTGGTGGCTTTAAAGATTCAACTCGTTGTGGTGTTGGTAATGGTTGTGATATTGGTAATGGTTGTTGTGGTAATAATGGCTGTTTGTTTTGTGGTGATGATGATAAAATTTGTTGTTGAATATTTTGATGAGCGATTTTTTCTTGTTGTTGTTGGTGTTGGTGTAAAAGATTTGGAGTGCCTGGATTGACCATTGGCGAGGCTAATTGCTGTTTAGTGGGGATACGATGGAGTAAACCAAAGCCGATATCACATCCTAAACTACCAGAGCCGCCCCAGTTCTTATTTGGGGTGATGGTTACCAATCTGATTTGTTCTGTTAATGAAGAGTATACGTAGAGTTGAATTGGACGATACATATTGTTGTTGATTAATGTGAAAAAGTCCTCTTGTTCATTTAAAATCAAATCTGGTGTACCAACTATATAATCTATTCTACTTTGAAGCTGTGCGTCGTGTGCTGGTGAGTTTAAATAGACATCCAATACATGCCATACATTCTCTAATGTCTTTTCCCATGAACAATAACGAATGGATATACCTGCTAATCCCTGACCACCCCAAGTAGTTGATGGTATTACTGGTACCTCTCTGGTGCTATCGCTTTTTATATTATATACTATCAATGTAACTGGTTTACCAATATTACTCTTAAATGTATCGGAGAATCTAGTATCTTCCTTTTCAAAAACTACTTGATTAGCAGCCACAATAAAATCAAAAAATGGTACTAATTTTCCAGAACTTGGTGAATTTTGATGAACTTGTAAAACATGGTATCCAGATTTATTATATGGATTGTTTTCTAATTGTTGTTGCTGTTGTTGTATTTGTTGTGATTGTTGTTGACCCATTTTTAATATTTATTTTAATTTATTTCAAAATTATAAGAAACACCACTACTCTATTTATATATTATATTTTATTATGAAAATTATACTTTAAGTATGCAATGTATATGATTAATTATAATTGGTGGGTGTGATATGGTTAAAAATTAAAATAAAAATAAATTAAAAAAAAATTAAAAAAAAAAATAACAAATTTAAAAAAAAAAAAATAAAATAAAAAATAATTCCAAAACGCCATTAAAATTAAATAAAAAAACAAAATCATTTTTTAAATTTGTGTTGCATGTATTTTTTTGTTTATTCAACCAACATAATAATGTTTATAAAAACAATAGACCCAAAATCATATTGATTTATAAAATAAACTATCTAAATTTTATTTTAAGTTTTTTAATTTGTGTGTTTGTAAAAAAAAATTTCTTATTGTTTGTTTTTTATATTATAAATTACATTTTATTATATTATATTATAATTCAAAAAAAAAAATGTCAAGAGAACCAATAAAATATAATGTTTCAGAATTATCATATGAATTTGATGATGATTATGTATGCCCAATATGTTTTGATATATATTATAAAAAAGAAGTTTACCAATGTAAAGAAGGTAGGAACCAGGTTATAGTTTTTTTGTAAATTTCAACTATTAATTTTTTTTTGTATTTAAATTAATTTAATATCAGGTCATTGTTCATGTAAAGATTGTTGGATAAAATCACTTAAAAATAAAAAAGAGTGTATGCAATGTAAAACTAAAGTTAATTCATTCAATGAACTATCAAGAGTTAGACAAGTTGAAAAGTTTTTATTAAAAATTTGTGTATGCTGTCCATATTCATTCAAAAATATTATTAGAGTATATGAAAGTGAAAAATTAATAAAAGATGGTGGTGGATGTAATGAAATCATTAAATTGGAAGAATTAGATAATCATATCGAAAACTGTAGTTTTAGATTTATAAAATGTAAATATCATGAAAAAGGATGCAATGATAAAATCAGATACAATGAAAATGAAACTCATATTTCCAAATGTGAATACCGACCAATAATTTGTCCACATTGTTCTAATGTTTACTTATTAAAAACAATCGAACAACATTATCTCGAATGTCCCTCGATGTTAATAGGCTGTAAAGAATGTAACAAAAAAATTAAAAGAGGAGAAATGGGTAATCATTTAGATAAAGAATGTCAAGAGGTAATTATTCCATGTAAATTTTCACAATTTGGATGCAATGATAAAATAAAAAGAAGAAATTTAGAAAATCATTTAGAACAAACAAACCACACAAAACATTTAAGTACAGCAATTGAACATTTAATGATTAAAAATGATCACATCAAACATTTAAGTGCAGCAATTGAACATTTAAATATTAAAAATGATCAACAATCAAATATGATTGAAGAGTTAGTCATTAAAAATAATCTACTTACAAATAGTATAAATGAATTAGCTATATGTAGAGAATATAAATATAAATGGATTATTTCAAACTATTCCAAAATTAATCATAATGTTGGTGATACATTGATATCTCCTAAATTTGGATATCCAAATTTATTTGAAATCAGATTAAGTAAAAATGACGTATGTGTTGGAAAATTATCTGTCTTTATTTATTCTTCGATAGAACAAAAAAACATGTCATTCTCAATAACTTTATTAAATAAAGATACTAAAAAGAACAAAATTCAAACATTGAATAATATTGGTAAGTAATAATATTATTTATTTAATAAAAATTATAAAAAAATATTATTTTATAAAAATTTTTTATTAATTATTTAAAACATTTAGATACATCAAGTTTATCCGGATGTGGGTGCTTAATAAATAGAGACCAAATAAATAAAGAATACGGATTTTTAACAGAAGATGACAAATTAGAATTAGAATTTACACTTACTTATCCTAAACCAATGCCAATGTTATTAAATTAAATTTCAAATTATCAAATAATAATTTTAAATATTTTAATAATGCTTTTTATCATCATAAAGTTTATTTTATTAAATAATTATATTTTTTTTTATTACATAAATTCATCAAAAAAAAAACAATTTATAAATTAAATTAAAAAATATAATTATAAAATATTATTAAAAAAATATTGCGTGGCCACGTAATTTTGAAAATTAAATAAAAAAACAAAATCAATATAATTTTTTTAAAATTTGTGTTGCATGTATTTTTTTTGTTTTAATTAATATTTTTGTAAAAACAAACATAAAAAAACAAAAGTTTATATAATGTTAGAGCATAGAACATTTTGGTTTAATTTATTAAGGTTTGAAGTTAAATTTCTTTAGCAGTATTCTATAGTGTCTAAAAGTATGCCATCAATTCTTTAACTATACCAATCTCCAATTTATATGAGTAACAAAAAAAATAAAATAAAAAAAAACACTATTTTTAGTTATTATATATTATGATATATTATAATTTATTTTTATTACCCCTATTTGTTTTTATTTTTAAGTTCCTTAAAATTTTTTTTTTTAATTTGTGTGTTTGTAAAAAAAATTTCTTATTAATTGTAAATTTTTTTAATTATATATATATTTTAATTATATATTTTATAATATTATAATTTGAAAAAAAAATGTCAAGAGAACCAATAAATTTTAATGTTTCAGAATTATCATTTGAGTTTGATAATGATTATGTGTGCCCTATTTGTTATGATACATATTATAAAAAAGAAGTTTACCAATGTAAAGAAGGTAAGAACCTGGCAATTGTTTTTTTAAATATAAATTTCAACTATTAATTTTTTTATTTTTAAATTAATTTTGATATCAGGTCATTGTTCATGTAAAGAATGTTGGATAAAATCACTTGAAAATAAAAAAGAGTGTATGCAATGTAAAATTGAAGTGAATTCATTTAATGAACTATCAAGAGTTAGACAAGTCGAAAAGTTTTTATTAAAAACTTGTGTATGCTGTCCATATTCATTTAAAAATATTATTAGAGTAGATGAATGTGAAGAATTAATTAAAGATAGTAGTGGGTGTAATGAAATTATTAAATTGGAAGAATTAGATAACCATCTTGAAAATTGTAGTTTTAGATTTGTAAAATGTGAATATCATAAAAATGGATGCAATGATAAAATCAGATACAATGAAAGTAAAACTCATATTTCAAAATGTGAATACCAACTATTAAATTGTACACATTGTTATGATAATTACTTATTAAAAAAAATCGAAAAACATTACCTCAAATGTCCCTTGATGTTAATAAACTGTAAAGAATGTAATGAAGAAATAAGTAGAGAAGACATGAATTATCATTTAGAGGAAGAATGTCAAGAGGTAATTATTCTATGTAATTTATCTCGATTTGGATGCGGTGATTTAATAAAAAGAAAACATTTGGAAAATCATTTAGATCAAACAAACCACATAAAGCATTTAGTTAAAGCAATAAAACATGTTAGTGCAACAATACAAGATTTACAATTTGATAATAATCAACTTTCAAATAGTATTAATGAATTAACTAAAGGTAAAGAAGATTTAATCATTAAAAACAATCAACTTTCAAAAAGTATTGATGAATTAACTAAAGGAAAGGAATATAAAAATAAATGGATTATTGCAAATTATTCCAAAATTAATGGTTTTTGTATGACATCTCCTAAATTTGGATATGCTCCAAATTTATTTGAAATCAAATTTTACAAAAATGGAAATTTTTGAGAATTATGTGTCTATCTTTATTCCACAAGTGAACAAAAAAACATATCATTCTCAATAACTTTATTTAATAAAGATACTAAAAAGAACCAAATTAAAACAATGAATAATGTTGGTAAGTAATAATATTATTTTTATTTAATAGAAATTATTATTTTTTTTATTTTTTTTATTTTTTATTAATTATTTATATCTTTAGAAATATTGGAATCACAAGGAAGGGGATGGTCCAACTTTATAAAAAGTGATGAAATGAATAAAGAAAATGGATATGTAACAGAAAATGACAAAGTAGAATTTGAATTTACACTTACTTATCCTAAACCAATGCCATTGCTCTCTTAAAGTCAAATTATCAATTAATAATTTAATTAAAAAAATAAAGTTTTTTTTACCATATTTTAAAAAACTTTTTTTCCGATTTATAAATTATTTTTTATATAAATAGTTTATTTTCTAAACTTTAATAGTGGAAAAAAGGGTTGTTTAAAAATTTGAAATGTAATTATTTTTTATTAATATTTAAAAAAAAAAAATTTAACTTTTATGTAGGCTCACAAAAGGTTAATAAGGTTATTCCTATGTAAAATATTTTTATAAATTAAAATATTTATCACCTCGAACCACATTTTTTTCATTTATATGCAAAAAAATAAAAATTCCATATAAATAAAAAAAAAGTTCGAGGTGTATGTAATTAAATGATTATGCAAAAATATAACTAGAACTATTGCCAAAATGAAGTATAGGATTCCTAATAAAATAATATAACTTCAGAACACAATGAATATGATTAATAAAAATTGGTGTGATATGATTTAAAAAAAAAATTGTTGTGTGGTTGGTTTAAAAATTGCAATTTTAAAAAAAAAATTTTTTTTTTTTTTTTGAAATTTTTAAATTGGAAATGTTTATTTTTTTCATATTAAAAATTTTTTTTTATTTTTTTGGTCTGCATGTTTTGAAACATCCGCACAATATAATTTTAACCCTCTAAATTTTTAATTTTATTTTCACTATTGCTTTTGTTTTCATCCATACTGGTTTATAAAGAACTAAAATAAAATTATAATGGTTTATATTTAATATTAGAGTCAAAATATATAATCGACAACAGGTTAGAATCAGTTTAAATTTCATCAACAGTCTATAATGTTTAAAAGAATGCCATAAACTCCTTAAGTATTCCTCCAATTTATAATTAAAAAAAATAAAAAAAATAAAAAAATAAAACTTTAATTTATTTTTATTACACCCTCATTTGAATTTATTTTTAAGTTATAAATTTTGTAAAATTTTTATAATAAAATTTTTTTATATTATTTTTTCTTTATTTTTTAATTATAAATCAAAAAAAAATGTCAAGATAACCAATAAAATATGATGTTTTAGAATTATGATGTTGATTTTGAATGTCCAATTTGTTATGAAATATATATTTTAAAAAAAAAGTTTACCAATATATAAAGGTAGGAACCTGGTATATAGTCTTTCTTATATAAATTTCAAATGTTAATTATTAATTTTTTTATTTATTTTTTTAAATTAATTTTATTATCAGGTCATTGTTCATGTAAAGAATTTTGGGAAAAATCACTTGAAAAAAAAAAAGAGTGTATGAAATGTAATATTCAAATAAAGTCATTCAATAAACTATCAAGAGCAATACAGGTTGAAAAAGCTATTATTAAAAACCAGTGTATGTTGTCCATATTCATTCAGAAATATTATTAGAGTAGATGAAAGTGAAGAATTAATAAAAAATGGTGGTGGGTGTAATCAAATTATTAAATTGGAAAAATTAGATAATCATATTGCAGAAGCGGGTCAAGTTTGAGTAGGAATTTTGATATAACAAAAATTAATGAGAATTTGTTGTGTCAAAATGAAAAAAATTACTCATTTTTTTTTTTTTAATTTTTTTTTATTTTAATTTTTTTAATTTTAATCTTATATTTATATTCAATGAATATATAAAATTTATTTATTTTCATTTATTCATTTATTTATTTTAAATATTTAATTGTTAAATATTTCATCTAAATAAAAAAAAAAAAAAAAAATTTTTTAAATTGAAAAACGTATAATTTTTTTTTTCTAAGTCTTTTTCCATATTAATTTTTAAACTACAAAATTTTTTTTATTAAAATTACCGCAAACTTAACCGGCCTCTACAATAATTTATTTTTATTACCCCCCATATTTGTTTTTGTTTTTAAGTTCCTTAAATTTTTAAGTTTTTTAATTTGTGTGTTTGTAAAAAAAAAATTTCATAATATTTGTTAAATATTATTTTTTTATATTATTATAAAAAAAAAAATGTCAAGAGTAATAATAAGTTTTAATGTTTCAGAATTATCATCTGAATTTGATGATGATTATATATGTCCAATTTGTATGGAAACATATTATGAAAAAGAAATTTACCAATGTAAAGAAGGTAGGTAAATATTTTTTATTATAATATAAATTTCAACTATTAATTTTCATTTTTGAATTAATTTTATTATCAGGTCATTGTTCATGTAAAGAATGTTGGATAAAATCACTTGAAAATAAAAAAGAGTGTATGCAATGTAAAATTCAAGTAAATTCATTCAATGAAGTGTCAAGAGTTAGACAAATTGAAAAGTTTTTATTAAAAACAGATGTATGTTGTCCATATTCATTCAAAAATATTATTAGAGTAGATGAAAGTGAAGAATTAATAAAAGATGGCAGTGGATGTAATAAAATGATTAAATTGGGAGAATTAGATGATCATATTGAAAATTGTGGTTTTAGATTTGTAGAATGTGAAGGATGCATGGATATATTCAGATACAATCAAAATAAAATTCATATTTCCAAATGTGAATATCAATATATAAATTGTAAACATTGTTCCAAATTTAACTTATTAAAAACAATGGAACAACATTATTTCGAATGTCCCTCGTTTTTAATAGACTGTTTTGTATGTAATGAAAAAATTAAAAGAGGAAAAATGAGTAAACACATAAATAAAGAATGTCAAGAAGTAGTTATTTCATGTAAATTTTCACAGTTAGGATGTAATTATAAAATAAAAAGAAAAAATTTAGAAAATCATTTAGATCAAATAAACCACACAAAACAATTATATACTGCAATAGAATGTTTGAGCTCATCAATAGAACATTTAATCATTAAAAATAATCAACTTTCAAATAGTATAAATGAATTAACTAAAGGTAAAGAATATAAAAATAAATGGATTGTTTCAAACTATTCCAAAATTCATCATAATGTTGGTGATAGTTTGGAATCTCCTACATTTGGATATGATACAAATTTATTTGAAATCAGATTATATAAAAATGGAAAAAATGATGAGGAATTTTATCCATATGATGATGATATATATACAAGTATATTTCTTCAATCTACAGGTAAACAAAAAAACATAACATTCTCAATAACTTTATTAAATAAAAATCCTACAAAGAACCATACTCATATATCCAATGGTAGTAAGTAATATTAAATAGAAATTACAAAAAAAATTATATATTGTTTTATTTTTAATTTTTTATTGTTATTAATTATTTTATTTTTTTAAAATAATTAATAACATTTAGATATATCAACTTCAGGATTTGGATGGGAATACTTTATAAAAAGAGACGAAATAAATAAAGAAAATGGATATGTAACAGAAGATGACAAAGTAGAATTTGAATTTACAATTACTTACCCTAATACAAAGCCATTGTTTTCAAAATAATTTTCAAACTATCTATTAATAATTTATATTATTTTAAATTATGCATTTTCTATATTTTTTTCACCATCATAAAGTTTATTTTATTAAATAAAATTTTTTTTACATTAACATATGTTTCTTCTTTTTATATTTTTTGAAGTTTTTTTTTTTTCGAAATTTTTTATTAAATTCAATAAATGTAGTGGATGTAATGAAATCATTATATTGGAAGAATTAGATTATCATATTGAAAAGTGATAAAAACTGGGAAAGTTATTGATCCCAACGATATTCAGATTACATGTTTCATAAAGAGTAGTTTTTTTAAATGCTCAATAAATTTATAGAGGCCATTAATGAGTTTTTAAAAATTATCAAATTTTGTCATATATTACAAGGAAAGTATTAACAAAATAAAAAAAACACTATTTTTAGTTTTTTCAATTTTCATAATAACAAAATTTTTATTACCCCTATTTATTTTTATTTTTAAGTTCCTTAAAAAATATTTTTTTTTTTAATTTATGTGTGTTTGTAAATTAATTTTTTTTTATATTTTTTATGAATTATTTGTTGTAAAATTTTTTATTATTATATATTTTTCATATTAGCATTATTTTATTATTATTAAAAAAATGTCAAAAAAACTAATAAAATATAATGTTTCAGAATTATCATCTGAATTTGATGATGATTATGTATGTCCAATTTGTTTTGAAACATATTATAAAAAAGAAGTTTACCAATGTAAAGAAGGTATGGATTTGGAAAATAATTTTTTTTAATATAAATTTCAAATATTAATTTTATTTAATAATTAGGTCATTGTTCGTGTAAAGAATGTTGGATAAAATCACTTGAAAAAAATAAAGAGTGTATGCAATGTAACATTCAAGTAAATTCATTTAATGAACTATCAAGAGCAAGACAAGTTGAAAAGTTATTATTAAAAACAGAAGTGTATTGTCCATATTCATTCAAAAATATTATTAGAGTAGATGAAAATGAAAAATTAATTAAAGATAGAGGTGGATGTAAAGAAATTATTAAATTAGAAGAATTAGATAATCATATTGAAAATTGTAGTTTTAGATTTGTAAAATGTAAATATCATGAAAATGGATGCATGGATAAAATCAGATACAATCAAAATGAAATTCATATTTCCAAATGTGAATACAAATCATTAAATTGTATACATTGTTCCAATGCTTACGTATCAAAAACAATCGAAAAACATTATCTTGAATGTCCCTCGATGTTTATATACTGTAAAGAATGTAACAAAAAAATAAAAAGAGAAGAAATGGATAATCATTTAAATAAAGAATGTCAAGAGGTAATTGTTTCATGTAAATTTTCACAATTTGGATGCCGTCATAGAATGTTAAGAGGTAATTTAGAAAATCATTTAGATCAAACAAACCACACAAAACATTTAAGTACAGCAATAGAACATTTAATGATTAAAAATAATCAACTTTCAAATAGTATAAATGAATTAAGTAAAGGTAAAGAAGATTTAATCATTAAAAACAAACAACTAACAAATAGTATAAATGAATTAACTAGAGGTAAAGAATATAAAAATAAATGGATTATTTCAAACTATTCCAATATTAGGGTTGGTGATTATTTGATATCTCCTAAATTTGGATATGATCCAGATTTATTTGAAATCATATTTTATAAAAAAGGATATAATGAAAAAAGTATTAATATCTATCTTCAATCTGCAATTGAACAAAAAAACATAACATTCTCAATAACTTTATTAAACAAAGATACAATAAAGAACTATACTGAAACATTCAATAATTTTGGTAAGTAATAATATTAAATATTATTTTATTTTTTAAATTTTTATTAATTATTTATAACATTTAGATATATTAGTAAATGGTTGTATGTGGAACAGAATTATAAAAAGTGGTGATTTAAATAAAGAAAACGGATATGTAACAGAAGATGACAAAGTAGAATTTGAATTTACACTTACTTATCCTAAACCAATGCCATTATTATCAAATTAAATTTCAAATTATTAATAAATTAAATTATCAATAAATTAAAATTATCAATTAATAATTTATATTATTTAAAAAATGCTTTTTTTATATTTTTACATCATCATAAGTTTATTTTATTAAATTAAAGTTTTTATTATTTATTATTTGTTAATAACCACCTTATCCTCTGCCCCTAGTAACTACCTCCTCCATCACAACTCAATCTTCAGCTGTACCATAACTTTCATTTTGAAAATTATCCTCACTTTCAACACTTTCATTATTTTCATCCTTTGATTATATTAAAAATTTTTGAGCATTGACCCCATTTGGTTGTTGATATATAACCTAAATGTTTAATTAGATATGAAGGATGACAATAATATTTATAAGCGAAATTAAAATATTCAGAGTATACATAAAAATGTTTACCGATATAAATAATACCATCTCTTTTTTCCAATCCATGAAATATAAATCTGATGAATTCTTTGTAAGAGAACATTCCAGCTCTTTTATATTACCTCTTGAAATATACAATAGGGAAAAAATATCATACTCATTTACTTGTATATGTAAATCTATTAATTTGCTCTATATCTTTAAAGTGTTTACTTAAATCACATAATTGAATTGGCAACCTGATTTGGTCTAAAATAGTTCGTGAATTAGAATAATTGTTGTCATTTAATTATATTTATAAAATTATAGATTTAAAATCTAATTACGTTTTTCTTTACTAATTGAAATGTAACTCTTTGTGCATCTGGCGGCAATACAAGATGTACCACCAATATGATTGATTTAAAACAACTTGATTTACACCAACTAGTGGTAATATTGGTTGAGGGTGTTTAATTGTGGTACTATAGGTGGTGAAATTTGTGATATCATCATTGTGAAATTGATTGTGAATCATTTGATTAAAATCCTGAATCAGATCATTTTTTTTTATATAAATGTTTTTGAGGTTGAAGTTTAAAGTTTTCACCAAGTTCCTCCGATGTGCTGTTTTTAATGCACATGTTAATGTATGAAAATAATATTCATACATCTATTGACAAGAAACAATCTTGAAGTGCCAATATTATTTTTTATTAAATATGTATAAATTGTTTTATTTATACTAAATTTTTAATTGCTAAATAACCACTAAAATAGAAAAATTTATAATTTTACAAAAATGATCCATTAATTAACGCAGATTTTATGTTGTTTATAATTATCAAAATTAGGTTTTTAAAAATATAAAAAAAAATCAAAAATCAAATATTTCTGAATCTAAAATTTTTTTTAAAATTAAAAATATCTAAATTTGATATTTTATTTTTGGAATTATAAAAAAAGGCAACACAATTTTTTTTAAATTTTTTTTTTTTTATAAAAAAATTTCAATTTTTTTTTATTTCAAAATTAATTTTTTTATTTTTTATAAAAACTATACTTCAAATATTTAAGAAGAAATGTTAAGAGAACCAATCAATTTTAATTTTTCAGAATTAACAACTGTAATTGATGAATTTATATGTCCAATTTGTATGGATACATATCATAAAAAAGAAATTTATCAATGTAGACAAGGTAAATGGTTTTAAAAAAAAAAAATTTATTTTAATATTTACCAAATATTTGTTATTAATATCCAACTTTTTTATTTAATAACTAGGTCATTGTTCGTGTAAAGATTGTTGGGAAAAATCACTTGAAAGAAAAAAGGAATGTATGCAATGTAAAACCCAAGTAAATTCTTTTAATGACCTCTCAAGAACTAGACAACTCGAGAATTTATTATTAAAAACAGATGTATGTTGTCCATATTCATTCAAAAATATTATTAGAGTAGATGAAAGTGAAGAATTAATTAAAGATAGTAATGGATGTAAAGAAATTATTAAATTAGAAGAATTAGATAATCATATTGAAAATTGTAGTTTTAGATTTGTAAAATGTAGAAACTATGAAAGGGGATGCAATGAAAAATTCAGAAAGGATTATTTAAATAGAAGATTAGGCAAAGGACATAGTTGTGGATATCATCCATTTCATTGTAGTTTTTGCAAATTAATTTCTATATCAAAAGAAAGAGAAAAACATTTTCTCGAATGTCCCTCGATGTTAATAGAATGTAAAGAATGTAAAAAAAAAATCAAAAGAGAAGAAATGGGTAATCATTTAGATAAAGAATGTCAAGAGGTAATTATTCCATGTAAATTATCACAATTTGGATGTAATCATCAAATAAAAAGATGTAATTTAGAAAATCATTTAGATCAAATAAACCACACAAAACATTTAAGTACAGCAATTGAACACTTAATCATTAAAAACAATCAACTTTCAAATATAATTGATGGACTAACTAAAGATGGTACAGCTATATTAAAAGTTCTAAATAAATAAAGAAAATGGTTATGTAACAGATAAAGTGAAATTTGATTTACACCTACTTATCCCGAACCAATGCCATTGTCATCTTATTAAAATTCAAATTATCAATTAAAAATTTATTTTATTTTTAAATAATGCTTATTCTATATTTTTACACCATCATAAAGTTTATTTTATTAAATAAAAGTTTATTTTACATAGTTTAATAATAGTTAAAATTCACACATTTTTTTATTAAGCTTTTTTTTTTTTTTATATTTTTTAAATTATAATATTTTTTATTTCCTTTCAAAAACCTTTATAAAACCATATTAATAATATTATGGTATTATTATTACATGTTGATGCTTATATTCACACCTCTTCAATAATAAAATGACAATATAATATTTAAAAAAAAAAAAAATCATATTTTTATTTTAAAAAAAAGTCATTTATTTTTTTTTTTTTTTTTTTTTTAAAAATATCTTACATATTTTATGAAATTCGAAAAAAGGTAACACAATTTTTTTAATCTTTTTTTATAAAAAAAAAAATTCAAATTTTTTTTTTATTTTAAAATTTTTTATTTTTTTATAAAAACTATACTTCAAATATTCAATAGGAAATGTCAAGAGAACCAATTAGTTTTAATTTTTCAAAATTAACATCTGTAATTGATGAATTTATATGTCCCATTTGTATGGGAAACATATTATAAAAAAGAAATTTATCCAATGTAGACAAGGTAAATGGTTTTAAAAAATAATTAGTTTTTTAATTTTAATATTTACCAAATATTTGTTATTAATATCAAACTATTTTTTTTAATAACTAGGTCATTGTTCGTGTAAAGATTGTTGGGAAAAATCACTTGAAAGAAAAAAGGAATGTATGCAATGTAAAACTCAAGTAAATTCTTTTAATGAACTCTCAAGAAATAGACAACTCGAGAATTTATTATTAAAAACAGATGTATGTTGTCCATATTCATTCGAAAATATTATTAGAGTAGATGATAGTGAAGAATTAATTAAAGATGGTGGTGGATGTAAAGAAATTATTAAATTAGAAGAATTAGATAATCATATTGAAAATTGTAGTTTTAGGTTTTTAAAATGTAGAAACCATGAAAAAGGATGCAATGATATAATCAGATACAATCAAAATGAAATTCATATTTCCGAATGTGAAAACCGACCATTAATTTGTACACATTGTTCTAATGTTTATTTATTAAAAACAATCGAACAACATTATCTCGAATGTCCCTCAATGTTGATAGACTGTAAAGAGTGTAGCCAAAAAATCAAAAGAGAAGAAATGGATAATCACGTTGATAAAGAATGTCAAGAGGTAATTATTTCATGTAAATTTTCACCATTTGGATGTAATGATAAAATAAAAAGAAAAAATTTAGAAAATCATTTAGAACAAACAAACCACACAAAACATTTAAGTACAGCAATTGAACATTTAATGATTAAAAACAATCAACTTTCATATAGTATTGATGAACTAACTAAAGGTAAAGAAGATATAATCATTAAAAATATTCAACTTTCAAATAGGATTGATGAATTACAAAAAGGTAAGGAATATAAAAATAAATGGATTATTTCAAACTATTCCAAAATCAATCATAATGTTGGTGATCGTTTGATATCTCCTAAATTTGGATATGCCCCAAATCTATTTGATATCAGATTTTATAAAAAAGGATCTAATAAACAAAATATTGGAAATACAAGTATTTATCTTCATTCTATAAGTGAACAAAAAAACATAACATTCTCAATGACTTTATTAAACAAAGATACTAAAAAGAGTCGAACTTTTACATACTTTCATGGTAAGTAATAATTATATTATTTTTTTTTAAAAAAAATTTTTATTATATATTTTATAGTTTTTATTAATTATTTATAATATTTAGATGTACCAATGACTGGATGGGGGTGGTCTATCTTTATAAAAAGTGATGAAATAAATAAAGAAAACGGATTTGTAACAGAAGATGACAAAGTAGAATTTGAATTTACAATTACTTATCCTAAACCAATGCCATTGTTATCAAATTAAATTTCAGATTATCAATTTAATTTAATTTTTTTTATATAAATTATATAATTCTTTTTCTATATTTTTTGCACCATCATAAAGTTAATTTTATTAAATAAAAGTTTTTATTTATTATTTAATTTCCACCTTTTCCTCAGCCTCTAGTCGTTCTATATCTTTATGCGTTTATTTGAATCACATAATTGAGTTGGTAACTTGATTTGTATTAGTATAATTGTTGTCATTTAATAATATTTTAGGGGTTCGAAAATAGGTTAGTTTGATTTTTTAAAAAAAAAAAAAATAGTCCTGCCAACCGCACCCCCCACAGCGCACCTATTTCAACCTTTTTTAAAACTATGTGTGCTATAAAAAATCAAAAAAAAAACTAAAAATAGAGGAAAAATTGAAAAAATTCATATAAAAAATATTGATTGAAAAATTTTTTAAGTTATTTTTTATTTATTATTTTTATTTAATTTTAGATATATTATTATATTCATTATAGACAGAATTATTAACAATATTTACCCTTGAAACTTTTGCCCATTCTCTTAAAGTACGCATTTCTTTTGTCCACACTTTCTTTTAAAAACCTTTGGATTTCTAAATACTTTGAAATATATAGGTGTCTCTTTTTTGTCTTTTATGTTCATTTCGATTAACATATCGTTTTGATTGCATAGATCGTGACCTTTTGTTGGTTTTCTATTCTTTGCCAATTTGATCAGGAATTTCATCTTGACTTTGATTTTCTATTTGTTCCTTCCATTGATTATATTTTGTTATTAATATTAAAAAATTTTAATATATTTATTATTTATTAATGTAATTATTTATTAATGTAATTATTTATTTCTTATATTTTTATATATATTAATAAATTTTGATATTGATAAATAAATAAAAATGTAGAAGTTTTTATAGAAATTTTTTTTTTATTAATTATCAACTGCTGTTTGTAATAAAATATTTTTAAAAATCCGCTTTACAATTTAAATGTATATTCATAATATAACAATAAAGATATTATTTTTATTATTATAAAAAAAATTTGAAAAAAATTTGAAAAAAATTTGAAAAAAATTTGAAAAATATTTATTTTAAAAAAAAAAGGAGATATTTTAATTGATAATGATTTAACGGTTTTTTTATTGATTTTTAAACACCTTTTAAATTATTAACTATTTCTAATTTTTTTTTTTACTATAAATAACTAAAAAAAAAAAAAAATAACCTGGAACTATGCAATTGACTATAAAAAGGGTCTATTAGACCCAAAACTAAAAAACCCTGTTTTTCTAAAAATAACCTATATTCGAACCCCTATAATATTTATAAAATTATAGATTTTAAATTCTAATTACCTTTTCTTTATTAATTGAAAAATTGGTTTGGTTAGGTGATGTAACTCTTTGTGCATTTAGCGGCAATACAAGATGTACCACCAATATGATTGTTTAAAACAACTTGATTTACACCAACTAGTGGTAATATTGGTTGAGGGAGTTCTATTTGTAGTACTATATGTGGTGAAATTGGTGATGAAGTATAACTACATCATAGTGAAATTGAATGTGAATCATTTGATTAAAATCCTGAATCAGATCATTTTTTTTTATATAAATGTTTTTGAGGTTAAAGTTTATTATTTTCACCAAGTTCCTCAGGTGAGCTGTTTTTAATGCACATGTTAATGTTCGAAAGTAATATCCATACATCTCTATTGACAAGAAACAATCTTGAAGTGTCAATATTATTTATTATAAATTGTTTTTTATTTATACTAAATTTTTAATAGCTAAATAACCACTAAAAGAGAAAAAATTTTAATTTTACAATAATGATCCATTCATTAATGCAGATTTCATGTGTTCTTGTTTATAATTATCAACATTAGGTTCTTAAAAAAATATTAAAAAAATTATAAAAAAAACAAAAAAAAATTAAAAAAAAAATCAAAAAAAAAAAATATTATAAGTTAACTAAAATTTTTTTTAACCACATATTTTTTTTTTTTTTTAAAATTAATAATATCTAAATTTATTTATGAAATTCGAAAAAAAGGTAATGCAATTTTTTTTTAAATCTTTTTTTTTTTAAAAAAAAATTTCAAGTTTTTTTTTATTTTTAAAAATTTTTTTTTTTTTTTATAAAAAGTTATTCACTTTAAATATTTAGGAAGAAATGTCAAGAGTACCAATTAGTTTTAATATTTCAGAATTAACATCTATAATTGATGAATATATATGTCCAATTTGTATGGAAACATATTATAAAAAAGAAATTTATCAATGTAGACAAGGTAAGTGATTTTTAAAATAATTTTTTTATTAAATATTTGTTATTAATATCCAACTATTTTATTTAATAACTAGGTCATTGTTCGTGTAAAGATTGTTGGGAAAAATCACTTGAAAGAAAAAAGGAATGTATGCAATGTAAAACCCAAGTAAATTCTTTAAATGACCTCTCAAGAACTAGACAACTCGAGAATTTATTATTAAAAACAGATGTATGTTGTCCATATTCATTCAAAAATATTACTAGAGTAGATGAAAGTGAAAAATTAATTAAAGATAGTAATGGATGTAAAGAAATTATTAAATTAGAAGAATTAGATAAACATATTGAAAAATGTTATTTTGCATTTATAAAATGTAAATACCATGAAAATGGATGCAATGATAAAATCAGAATCAATGAATATGAAAATCCTAGAACCCGTATATCAGGAAATAATTGTGGATACCAACCATATAATTGTGAATATTGCAAATTAAAATTTTTAAAATACAATATCCAAAAACATTATCGCGAATGTCCCTCGATGTTAATAAAATGTAAAGAATGTATAAAAAAAATCAAAAGAGAAGAAATGGGTAATCATTTAGATAAAGAATGTCAAGAGTTAATTATTCCATGTAAATTATCACAATTTGGATGTAATGATAAAATAAAAAGAGGTAATTTAGAAAATCATTTAGAACAAATAAACCACACAAAACATTTAAGTTCAGCAATTGAACACTTGATCATTAAAAATAATCAACTTTCAAATAGAATTGATGAACTAACTAAAAATGGTACAGCTATATAAAAAGTGCAAAATAAATAAAGAAAATGGTTATGTAACAGAAGATAAAGTTAAATTTGATTTACACCTACTTATCCCAAACCAATACCATTGTCATCTTATTAAAATTCAAATTATCAATTAATAATTTATATTAATTTATATAATGCTTATTCTATATTTTTTACACCATCATAAAGTTCATTTTATTAAATAAAAGTTTTTTTAACATTATATGTTTCTTTTTTTTTTTATTTTTAGAAGGTTTTTTTATTAATATTTAATGTAAAAAATTTTATAATAAACTTAAAATTAGTTTAATAATAGTTCAAATACCCACATTTTTTATTAATTTTTTTATTATAATTTCCTTTAAAAAACCTTCACAAAACCATATAAATAATATTATGGTACTGTTATTTTGATGCTTATATTCACACCTCTTCAATAAAATGAAAATATAATATTTTAAAAAAAAAAAAATCATATTTTTATTTAAAAAAAATTCATTGAAACACACACCTCATTTATGCAAAGCAATGGATCATTTAATGGAGAGAAATAATGAACTTTTAGGTGTTATTGAAGAATTAGCTTTTGGAAAAAAATATAGAAATAAATATTTTAATAAAAAATAAAAAAACTTAGATTATAAATAAATGAATTGATTAATAATGTAAAGTTGTTTTTATGTGAACAAATTTTACAAAGAACTTTGAATGCATATTTGAAAACAAAAGAAATAAATATTTTAATAAAAAATAAAAAAATTAAAAAAGTGAAAAAAAAGTTTTTTAAAATTTTTTTTTTTTTTTTAAAATTGTGTGTGCATTATTTTTTAATATTATTATTGTAGATTAAAGAGAAATTTATTAAAGATGGTAGCGGATGTAATGAAATTAATAAATTGGAAGAATTAGATAAGCATATTGAAAAGTGATAAAAACTGGAGGAAAACAATCGACCCAATGATTATATTGTTTCAAAAGATGATAAAGTAGAATTTGAACTTTCAGTTATTTATCCTGAACTAGGGTAAAAAATTTAGTTTATTTTTTGAAAAAAATATAGAGAAAAAAACAATCTTTCAAATGATACAATAAATACTTTAGACTAACACTTTGCCAAAGAGATAGTATAGAGCAACTATGATGAACCTTTAATTCAAATGCTTATTGAAGAAAAAAAAAGAAACAAATACATATATTTCAAAGTATAAAGAAACCCAAAAATACTTAGAAGAAAGTTTAGATCATAGAAATGATACAATAAAATATTGGAAAGAAAATAGTATTGAATATCCAACATTATATTCAATTGTAAGAAATGTACTTTCAGTTGCTTCTTCGTCCGTTGAAATTGAAAGAACATTTTCGGGTGCTAAGTTATAGACAACAGATCAAATTTGGGTTGGGAAAGAATAGAACAACGTGTGTTATTAAGGGAATGGGCAAACATTTCAAGAGTAGATATTGTCGAAAACTCTGTCATTTATAATTATTCAAATATTTCAAAAATGGTATGATTAAATAAAATTTTACAAGAATTTTAAATTTTTTTCATACAAAAAAATAATGTAATTTTAAGTTTTTTTTTTTTTTTTTTTAAGTTTTTAAAATAAAAAAATTAGTCAAGTGGTGTGGGAGTTGGGGAAACTTAGAAATTTTTTTTTTTTTTGTCAAACTTAGACTAATTTTTTTCCCCAATATAATATTTAAAAAAAAAAATCATATTTTTATTTTAAAAAAAAAGTCATTTATTTTTTTTTTTTTTTTTTTTTTTTTTTTTAAAGATATCTTACATATTTTATTAATTGAAAAATTGGTTTGGTTAGGTGATGTAACTCTTTGTGCATTTAGCGGCAATACAAGATGTACCACTAATATGATTTTTTAAAACAACTTGATTTACACCAACTATTGGTAATATTGGTTGGGGTGTTGTATTTAGAAATTCATTTTGATCAAACAAACCACACAAAACATTTCAGTATAGTGATAGAACATTTAATGATTAAAAATAATCAACTTTCAAATAGTATTGATGAATTAACCAAAAATATTAATTTAAAAAAATACTATTGTTTTTTATTTTTTAAATAATTATTTTTTAAATTATAAAAATAACACAAAATTAAAAATATATAAATAAATTAAATGATAGTTTTTTTTATATACTAAAAAATTCATTCATTTTTTATGAAAGTAAACCGATAAACATAAATGAACTTTTTAGTATGGGTGAGATATTTTTATATGGACAATTTTGCAAGTAGCTCATTATAATTAAAAAAAAGTTAAAAAAAAAAATAAAAAAATAAATCACTTATAGAAAGCCGTTTTTTCTAAATTAAAATCCCTAAAAAATACTTAAAAAAATTATAAAAAAATAAAAAATATTTATGAAATTCGAAAAAAAAATTAATGATGAAATTTATTTATAAATTTGCGCACGAAATTCTTTTGGTAATTTTTTTTTTTAAATCTTTTTTTAATTTTTTTTTGAAAAAAATTTTAAGTTTTAAAAAATTCTAAAATTTAAAATTTTTATTTTTTATAAAAAGCTATTTATTTCTAATATTCAGAAAGAAATGTCAAGAGAATCAATTAGTTTTAATTTTTCAGAATTAACATCGGTAATTGATGATGAATAAATATGTCCAATTTGTATGGATACATATCATAAAAAAGAAATTTATCAATGTAGACAAGGTAAATGGTTATAAAAAAAAAAATTTTATTTTAATATTTACCAAATATTTGTTATTAATATCAAACTTTTTTATTTAATAACTAGGTCATTGTTCGTGTAAAGATTGTTGGGAAAAATCACTTGAAAGAAAAAAGGAATGTATGCAATGTAAAATTAAAGTTAATTCTTTTAATGACCTCTCAAGAAATAGACAATTCGAGAATTTATTATTAAAAACAGAAGTGTGTTGTCCATATTCATTCAAAAATATTATTAGAGTAGATGAAAGTGAAGAATTAATTAAAGATAATAAAGGATGTAATAAAATTATTAAATTAGAAGAATTAGATAATCATATTGAAAATTGTAGTTTTAGATTTGTAAAATGTAGAAACCATGAAAAAGGATGCATGGATAAAATCAGATACCATGAAAATGAAATTCATATTTCCACATGTGAATACCAACTATTAAAATGTTCAGATTGTTTTAATGTTTACCTATTTAAAAAAATGAAACAACATTATTTCGAATGTCCCTTGAAGATAATAAGCTGTAAAAAATGTAATGAAAAAATAAAGAGAGGGGAAATGGATAATCACTTAGATGAAAAATGTCAAGAAGTAATTATTCCATGTAAATTTTCACAGTTTGGATGCAATTATAAAATAAAAAGATGTAATTTAGAAAATCATTTAGCTCAAACATACCACATAAAAATTTTAGGTACAGCAATTGAAAATTTAATCATTAAAAACAATCAACTTTCAAAAAATATGGATGAGTTAACTAAAGGTAAGGAATATAAAAATAAATGGATTATTTCAAACTATTCCAGAATTAATCATGATGTTGGTGAATGTTTGATATCTCCTAAATTTGGATATGCCTCAGATCTATTTGATATCAGATTATATAAAAATGGATCTAATAGACAAAATATTGGAAATATAGGTATTTATCTTCTTCCTACAAGCGAAAAAAACATAACATTCTCAATAGCTTTATTAAACAAAGATACAAAAAAGAACCATTTTGAAAAATATTTTAAAAGTAAGTTATAATATTATTTTTATTAAAAAAAATTATTATAATTTATTTTTTAATTTTTTATTAATTATTTATTACATTTAGATGTTGCAGTGTATGGATGGGGATGGCCTAACTTTATAAAAAGTGACGAAATAAATAAAGAAAATGGATATGTAACAGAAGATGACAAAATAGAATTTGAATTTACTCTTACTTATCCTAAACCAATGCCATTGTTAACAAATTAATTTTCAAATTATCAATTAGAGATTAAAAATTGTTATCTTCAGTTTTTACCAATTATCTTTAGCTTATCCATTAAAAAATTATCTCTTTTTTCAAAAAAATTATTATTCATTTATAAAACTTATCAAAATAAAAGCACAAACACATCATAATTTTTTTCATTGAGTTTTTAATTTTTTTATTACAATTTTATTCATATTAGCTCTCTTGACATTTCTAAAATTATAAAAACAACCAAACATGAAATCTGCGTTAATGTATGGATCATTATTGTAAAATTATGTGATTCAAGTAAACACTTTAAAAATATAGAGCAAATTAATGGATTTACTTGTATATTTCAAGAGGTATCAACTTTAAAAAAATTTAAAAAAATCACAAACACAATTTCACTTTTTTTTTTAATTAAAAATATCTAAATTTATTTATTAAATTCAAAAAAAGTAATGCAAAACTTTTATTTAATAAACTTTATGATGGTGTAAAAAATATAGAAAAAGAATTGTATAAAAAAAAATTAAATTAAATTGATAAATTGAAATTTAATTTGATAACAATGGCATTGGTTTAGGATATCTAAGTATAAATTCAAACTCTACTTTGTCATCTTCTGTTACATATCCACCAATATGATTGATTTAAAACAACTTGATTTACACCAAATAGTGGTAATATTGGTTGAGGGTGTTGTATTTGTGGTACTATAGGTGGTGAAATTAGTGATGAAGTATAACTACTTGAATGTAAATGTGAATGTGAATGTGATTAAAATATTAAATCAGATCTTTTTTTTATACAAATGTTTTTGGATAAAGGTTAATAATTTTCAGCAAATTCCTCTTGTGTGCTGTTTTTAATGCACATTTTAATGTATGAAAGTAATATCCATACATCTCTATTGACAAGAAACAATCTTGAAGTGTTGGGAAAAAATTAATGGTTGCGTAAAAAAATTAAAATATTTTTTTTTTTTTTAATTTTTTTTTTTTTTTTTTTAAATTTAGTTTTTTTTAAATATGTCAAAAAAAGATTTTGAAATTTTTTTTTAATTGTGTGCAACATTATTTTATAATATTAATAGGGCAGATGAAGGTGAAATTTATAAAAGATGGTTGTGGATGTAATGAAATCATTAAATTGGATGAAATATACAACTATATTGAAAAGTGATAAAAACTGGAGGAAAGATATTAACCCCAATGATTACATTGTTTCATAAATAATAGTTTTTTTAGGTTCAATATATTTGTCGATAAATATTAATCACAACTCTATAATAATGGAAGAGGAAGAACTACGCCTCATTTTAGTGATTTTAGTATTTATTAATAAAGACAACAATAAAATAATAAAATAATTTCAAAATCAATTGCAGTTACATTTGACAACACTATTTTTAGTTTGTTCAATTTTCATAAAAAAAAATTTATTTTTATTACCCCCAATTTGTTTTATTTTTAAGTTCCTTAAAATTTTAATTTTTTAATTTATGTTTTTTAATTTAAAATTTCTTTATATTTGTTATGTTCTAATATTTTTCCATATAACCATCATAAATTTAAAAAAATGTCAAGAGAGCCAATAAAATATAATATTTCTGAATTGTTATCTGAATTAGATGATGATTATGTATAATTTGTATGGAAACATATTATAAAAGAAATTTATCAATGTAGACAAGGTAAGTGATTTTTAAAATAATTTTTTTATTTTAAATATTTGTTATTAATATCCAACTATTTTTTTTAATAACTAGGTCATTGTTCGTGTAAAGATTGTTGGGAAAAATCACTTGAAAGAAAAAAGGAATGTATGCAATGTAAAACCCAAGTAAATTCTTTTAATGAACTCTCAAGAAATAGACAACTCGAGAATTTATTATTAAAAACAGAAGTGTGTTGTCCATATTCATTCGAAAATATTATTAGAGTAGATGATAGTGAAGAATTAATTAAAGATAGTAATGGATGTAAAGAAATTATTAAATTAGAAGAATTAGATAATCATATTGAAAATTGTAGTTTTAGATTTGTAAAATGTAAATATCATGAAAAAGGATGCATGGATAAAATCAGGTTCAATGAAAATGAAACCCATATTTCCGAATGTGAATACCAACCATTAATTTGTAAATATTGTTATGATTTTTACTTATTAAAAACAATCGAGCAACATTATCTCGAATGTCCCTCAATGTTAATAGACTGTAAAAAGTGTAACAGAAAAATAAAGCGAGGGGAAATGGATAACCATTTAAATAAAGAATGTCAAGAGGTAATTATTTCATGTAAATTTTTAAAATTTGGATGTAATGATAAAATAAAAAGAAAAAATTTAGAAAATCATTTAGAACAAACAAACCACACAAAACATTTAAGCACAGCAATTGAACATTTAATCATTAAAAACAATCAACTTTCAAATAGTATTGATGAATTAACTAAAGGAAAAGAAGATATAATCACTAAAAACATTCAACTATCAAATAGGATTGTTGAATTACAAAAAGGTAAGGAATATAAAAATAAATGGATTATTTCAAACTATTCCAAAATCAATCATAATGTTGGTGATCGTTTGATATCTCCTAAATTTGGATATGCTCCAGATCTATTTGATATCAGATTTTATAAAAATGGTATACAAACTATTGGAAATATAAGTATTTATCTTCATTCTGCAAGTGAACAAAAAAACATAACATTCTCAATGACTTTATTAAACAAAGATACTAAAAAGATTCGAACTTTTACATACTGTCATGGTAAGTAATAATAATATTATTTTTTATTATATATTTTATAGTTTTATTAATAATTTATAATATTTAGATGTACCAAAGACTGGATGGGGATGGTCTATCTTTATAAAAAGTGAAGAACTAAATAAAGAAAACGGATATGTAACACAAGATGACAAAGTAGAATTTGAATTTACAATTACTTATCATAAACCACTGCCATTGTTATCAAATTAAATTTCTAACTATCAATTAATAATTTATATTATTTTTAAAAAATGCCATTTCTATATTTTTTACACCATCATAAAGTTTATTTTATTAAATAAAAGTTTTTATTTATTTTATTGCCACCTTTTCCTCAGCCTTCAGTTGTTCTATATCTTTAAAGCATTTATTTGAATCACATAATTGGTAACCTGATTAAAGAATTTCAAAATATAAAGGATGTTTTAAATCAACCAAATTAGTTTACAAATAAATTTTTTTTTTTTATAATTATTTTTTATTTTCTTTTTTTTATTTTTTTTTTTTTATTTCATTTTTTTTTCAAGGGGTGTCTCAACAAAAAAGAAATTAATGAAATTTTTTTTTTTTTTTTATATATAAAAAAAAAGTAATGCACATAAAAAAAAAAAAATTTTCATTTCTAAATTTTTTTTTTAAAAAAACACATCCAAACCCCCCCCCTTGTTTTTTTTTTTTTAAAAAAAAATTTTTTCTTTTTACAAATTTTTTTTTTTTTATCAATTTTTGTTTTTCAAATGTTTTTTTTTTCAATTTTTTATAAACATCTTAATTTTTTTCAATTTTTTTTTTATTTTTTTTTATTTTTTTTTAAATTATTTGATTTTCTAAAAAACTATGGTCAATTGCAGTTACATTTGACAATATCTGTGAAATCACAGAAATGGGTATTACAAATTTAAAATATAATCTAAAAATAAACACACCCAAATTTTTTTAATATAGTTTCAGAAAATTTTAATAAAAAATATATTCAAAATAAAAAAATAAATAAAAAAATAAAAACACTATTTTTAGTTCAATTTTCATAAAAACAAATTTATTTTTATTACCCCCAATTTGTTTTTATTTTTAAGTTACTTAAAATTTTAATTTTTTTAATTTATGTGTTTTTAAAAAAAATTTCTTTTTATTTGTTAAGTTCTAATATTTTTCATATAACAATAAATTTTAAAAAATGTCAAGAGAGCCAATAAAATATAATGTTTCAGAATTATCATCAGAATTAGATGAAGGTTATATATGTCCAATTTGTTTAGAATCATATTTTAAAAAAGAAATTTACCAATGTAAAGAAGGTATGGAGTGGTAAATAGTTTTTTTTAATATAAATTTCAACTATTAATTTTTTTTATTTTTCAAATAATTTTTAAATTAATTTTTAAATTAATTTTAATATCAGGTCACTGTTCATGTAAAGAATGTTGGATAAAATCACTTGAAAATAAAAAAGAGTGTATGCAATGTAAAATCAAAGTTAATTCATTTAATGAACTATCAAGAGCAAGACAAGTTGAAAGGTTTTTATTAAAAATTTGTGTATGCTGTCCATATTCATTCAAAAATATTATTAGAGTAGATGAAAGTGAAAAATTAATAAAAGATGGTTGGGGGTGTAATGAAATTGTTAAATTAGAAGAATTAGATAATCATATTGAAAATTGTAATTTTAGATTTGTAAAATGTAAATATTATGAAATTGGATGCATGGATCAAATCAGATACAATCAAAATGAATTTCATATTTCCAAATGCGAATACCAACCATTAAATTGTACACATTGTTCTAATGTTTATTTATTAAAAATAATGGAGCAACATTATCTCGAATGTCCCTCAATGTTAATAGACTGTAAAGAATGCAATGAAAAAATCAAAAGAGAAGAAATGTATATGCATATAGATAAAGAATGTCAAGAGGTAGTTATTTCATGTAAATTTTTACAATTTGGGTGTAATGATAAAATAAAAAGAAAAAATTTAGAAAATCATTTAGATCAAACAAACCACTCAAAACATTTAAGTACTGTATTAGAAAGTTTAATCAATAAAAACAATCAACTTTCAAATAGTATTGATTACTTAACTAAAGGTAAAGAACTTATGGCTTCAACAATAGAAGATTTAGTCATTAAAAATAATCTACTTTTAAATAGTATTGATTACTTAACTAAAGGTAAAGAATATATGGCTTCAACAATAGAAGATTTAAACATTAAAAATAATCTACTTTCAGATAGTATCAATGAACTAATCAAAGGTAAAGAACTTATGGCTTCAACAATAGAAGATTTAGTCATTAAAAATAATCTACTTTTAAATAGTATTGATTACTTAACTAAAGGTAAAGAATATATGTCTTCAACAATAGAAGATTTAAACATTAAAAATAATCTACTTTCAGATAGTATCAATGAACTAATCAAAGGTAAAGAAAATTTAATCATAAAAAACAATCAACTTTCAAATAGTATTGATGAATTACTCAAAGGTAAAGAAAATTTAATCATAAAAAACAATGAACTTTCAAATAGTATTGCTGAATTATCTAGAGGTAAAGAATATAAAAATAAATGGATTATTTCAAACTATTCCAAAATTTTTCATTCTCCTGGTCAATTTTTAAAATCTCCTCCATTTGGATATGCTCCATATTTTTTTCATATCCTAATATACAAAAATGGAATGGATACATCTGATATTGGAAACATAGGTGTTTTTCTTAGCTCTGGAGATAATAATAATCAAAAAAATATATCATTCTCAATAGCTTTATTAAATTATTATTCTGAAAATAACTACTCTTATTCATTTAAAAACAGTGGTAAGTAATTGTTTTTTTGGAATTATTATATTATTTTTTTAAATTATTAATTATTTATACATTTAGATATAACACCATCAGGATTTGGATGGAATTGCTTTATAAATGGTAATCATATGAATATAATAACCGGATATGTAAAAGAAGATGACAAAGTAGAATTTGAATTTACACTTACCTATCCTCCTCCAAATCCATTGTTATCAAATTAATTTCAAATTATCAATAAAAAAATTATATTATTTTAAAGAATGCTTTTTCTAAATTTTTGAACCATCATAAAGTTTATTTTATTTAATAAAAGTTTTTTCTCATTTACACAATATGTTTCTTCCTTTTATGAAATTTTTTAAGATTAAATTATTTTTACAATAAATTTTTTTTTTTTGTAATTTAATCATTCCATTTAAGATATTTATATTAAATTAAATAATATTATTGCACAAAACTATTATTTAATGTACAATTATAGTTCTTTTTAGTATCTTTATTTAATAAAGGAGTATGTGTTTTTTTGTCCTGTTAGGTTGAGGATAGATACCCATATTTCCGATATATGTGTTATTATTTCCATTTTTATTAAATCCAAGATTCATATCCAAATAAAGAAGATATCACTGATATTCTGTTAAATTTTAGAATAGTCTGAAATTATTCATTATTTTTAATTTATCAATACTATTGAATATAAAGGCAACCATATTATCATTTATGTTAAATCTGTGAAATAATATAATAATAAATTTAATAAAATAAATAATTTTTGAATTTTAAAAAAAAATAAAAATAAAAAAAAAATAAAAAAAATAAAAAATATGAGTTTGATGGGATTAAATTAAAATAAAATACTTCTAAACTAAAATAATTTTTTTTTTATATAAAATTTTGGGATATTATAATAAAAAAAAATTGGTATCTTTTGGTTGGTGTAATTTCAATATTGATGAGAACGTCATACCATATTTGGCACCCATTCGTGATGATTATTTTTATTTTTTTTAATTTTTTTTTTTTAAAAATTTATTTAATTTTTTATTTTTTTTATTTTTTTTATTTTTTTATATTTTTGTTTATATAAGAAATGATTTCTATAAATACCCTTCAAGTTGAAAGGGTTATTTTTATCAAAATAAAATTAATAAATCATAGGTAATAATAGTTTTAAAAATGATATTAGTGATACAAGTAATTGTATTACTTTTTATTATTTATATTGTACATAATTGTGTATGTATATATTATATTGGAAATAATATGAAAAAGTTATTTTATAATCTAACATGCCCTATTATAATAGTATTCAAAATATAGAAAGATTCATGAAAAAGAAATTAAAGGTCCATTCCCATTACCAATTTTAGGTAACCTTCATAGCTTTTCAGGTAATTATTTTACATTATCCTAATCAATCTATATATTGTATATATCAAATTTAAACTAACACCCCCACCCCACCCCTTTTTTATATAGATCTTCCACATCATGATTGTACAAACTATACAAAGAAATATGGTGATGTAATGAGAATATGGTTTGCAGATTTATACACTGTTATTTTATCCGATGCTAATATCATTCGTAAAGTTTATGTTGAAAATCATGAAAATTTTATGGATAGACCACGTATTCCTGTATGTATATATATAAATAATAAAATATAAATATTAAAAATGTAAATATTAATTTTTTCTTTTATATAGTCATTAAAATATGGAACTTATTTTCATGGTACAGTTGCTTCAATGGGTGAAGATTGGAGTAAGTTTAAAACAAAATAGAATCAAACTATTATTTATATAAATATACTAATTAATTATTTAACAGTTCGTAATAGAGATGTAGTTTCTAGAGCAATGAGAAAAACAAATATCAAACATATTTATGAATTAATGGATACTCAAGTGGATATTTTATTAAGATCAATGGAGAAAATTTCAAAAGATGGTACTGCATTCGAACCTCGTTATTACACTACAAAATATACAATGGGTTTAATGTACAAGTTTATCTTTAACGAAGAAGTTGATGAAAATGAAGATATTAACAACGGTGATATTAAGAAATTGGGTGATCTTATGTCAAGAATTATGGAAGATTTTGCAAGTGGCTCGTTATGGGATGTATTAGAAATCACTAGACCACTTTACTTAAAGTAAATAATTTTCTTTATTAGAGGTTTTGTAATTATAATACCAATACTAATATTTTTTATCTAAAGGTATTTAGAAATGTTTGAAAAAGCTTTCCCAATTTTAATAGAGTTTTTTGAAAAAAGATATAAAGAACATCTCAAGACCTTCGATCCAGAGTCACCAAGAGATTTATTAGATACATTAATTGCTGAATATGGTGGTGGTGATCCAAAGAAAACTACCAAAGATGATTTATTAAGTATTTATTCAAGGTAAGCAGTTCGTAAATTGGGATAACAATCCATTTAAAAGTTTAGCCAAACTATTGTATATATTAACGTTAATATTTCCTATATACTATTATAGTCTTAGTGATTTCTTTTTTGCTGGTGTAGATACTTCAAGTACAACTCTTGAATATTTATTTTTATTATTATCAAATTACCCAGAGGTCCAAGAAAAGGTTCACGACGAAATTAAAACAACACTTAAAGGTAGAGATAGGGTTTTATTAAGTGACAAAGCATCATTACCATATCTTTCTGCAGTTATCAAGGAAACCATGAGATACAGACCAGTTACTTCATTTGGTTTACCAAGAACAACTACCAATGATATTGTTATCGATGATAAATATTTCATTCCAAAAGATTCTCAAGTCCTTATTAACTACCATGCTCTTTCATTCAACGAAAAGTACTTCCCAAATCCACATGTATTTGATCCAACCAGATTTATTAATGAACCAAATAACCAAGCTTTCATTCCATGGTCTATCGGTCAAAGAAATTGTGTTGGTATGTATTTAAATTTATTATCTATTTAAAACTTTTAAATTATATTTATTAACACCCATTCATTCATTTATTCATTTTCTAGGTATGACTTTTGCTCAAGATGAAATTTTCTTATGTATCGCAAATGTTTTATTAAGATATAGATTCAAATCTGTAGATGGCAAAAAAATCAATGAAATAGAGAAATATGGTATCACAACAAAACCAGTAGATCGTTTCAATGTTTTATTAGAAAAGAGAGCTTAATTCAATTAAAAATTTTCGATTAATCCTCTCTCCATTCTTTTTTAATTTTAAAAATAATAATTTATTTTCAAAATTCACTCATAAATTTTTTTTTTTTAACAAATAATAAATACTTTGGTTATAATTTTAAACAATTAAACTAATTTTATAAATTCATAATTTATATTATTTTTATAATTATAAAAATCTAATGTTTTATTTGTTAAAAAAAATAATCAGGGGTCTAAATATTTAGGACTGTAGACTAGATAGCGGTGGGTCTTGTGAAATTGGTTCTGATTTTACGACTATCTGATGTGTTGGTGTTGATGATGAAGTTAGCATTGGCATTGGTGTTAGTGTTAGTGTTAGTGTTGGTGTTAGTGTTGGTGCTGTTATTGTTACTGTTGTTACTGTTGTTACTGTTTTTGTTACTGTCGTTGTTGTGGTTGTGGTTGTTGTTGTTGTCGAACCATTCTCTGTAATAATTGATTTCTTTATTGTTGAATGTTCATGGACAATTTCTTCTCCTTTATTATTATTATTATTATTATTATCATTATTATTATTATTATTATTACCATTATTATTGTCTTCTTTTTTATTATCATAATTTTCATTATCATTAATCTCTACTACTTCTTCTTCTTCTTCCTCTTCCTCTTCCTCTTTTTCTTCTTCTTCTTCTTCCTCTTCTTCTTCTTTTTCTTTTTCTTTATTATCACTTTTTTCTTTTTTTTTTGACCAATTCTTTTCAATTTTAAAAATCCCCTTTCGTTTCTTTATTATTTCTGGTTTTTCTATACCCAATGAATCTCTTATTTGATTAACAATCTCCTGTTTGTATTGATCCTGTTTTTTGAGATACTTTCTAATATCCACTGAAGAACCAATGAATATTTTCATTTCAACCAAAGTATGAAAATTAATTTCATGGTGAGTGACGAGAAATTTTCTTGTTTTATATTGTTTAACCTTTTCTCTGCAGATTATTTCATAACAACGTCTAAAATATTGAAAACGTGATTCCTCATCTATGATGAATAATTCTGGCAAATTCTTTTCAAATTCTTTTCTACTTTCTGTGAAAAGAATACGACCCTTAATTGCTTTCACGAAAGTATGGTTTTCATCAGGTACTGCTACTGTAATCCCACATTGTTTATACATTCTTTTTTTTGTATCATATTCATCCTGTTGGATCTGTAAGTGA